TTGCAGGAAGAGAAGTGAGAAGGGCAGGTGCCGCTGGGAATGACATCTCATATCCCCATACTCACAAAACTGGATGATGACTTCTGTGCCTCATTAAAATGGAGAGATGATCGGTCAAAGTAAATTGTTATTTGAGGTTTTGTTACTTGCATTAGAGCTGTTATCATGAACAGCAGTGTCATCGCCAGAGTCATTGAGACAGATTTACAGAAGAGGGGCGATGAATGATGCATTGCAGGAAGAGAAGTGAGAAGGGCAGGTGCCGCTGGGAATGACATCTCATATCCCCATAAACGTGTGCGCACTCACACTAAAGCCATTCAGTGATCATTCATTGCATGATTGGATGATCTTCACACACCGTTGATGCACAAGTCAGCATCACAGTAAGCAGTGTATTTGTTCGCTGTCAGTAACACTTGGTTGTGTGGGGTCTTTGAGGGAATGACTCATCTTTGAGCAAGCACTGTTAGGAAAAAACTTCCAGTTTTACCACCTTTTCATTTTTGTTTCTCACCTTGAAATGAAATCTCATATGGAGTCTAACACAATTAAAATGGTGCTGCACACATGTGTAACCTACAGAACCACAGACAGTGTAGTGCTGCATGTACAGCGCCCTAGATTTTGATTAGATTTGACAGTATTGACAATATGGCACTGAACAGATGTTTTTCAGTGAATCTCCTTACAAAACCTGCAGTAAAAATTCACACTATGTATAAATATTCACATTTCACACTATGTATAAAATATAGAAAGTATAGAAAATTGTAGAAAATATAGTATTTTGTTAGAATGTTTTGCATTATGTAATTTTATTTTACCCATGTACCTGCAATGCATTTTGTATTGTCTTTTTTTTCTTTCTTTTTTTAATGATGATTCCTTTTAATGCAAATACTTTTAATACTGCTTCATTTACATTTTTTATTTAATAATTTATTTTTGATCATTGTTAATTATCATATTGTTTATTTATTGATAATAATTTTTTTCAATTTTGATAATTCAATGAAATTAATGAAACGTAATTAAATTTTGCATATATCATTTATGTGCATTGCATTGCATACTCCTATGCAATGCAAAGAACTCCTAAATGTCATTTAGAAACTAATTTACTGTGAAGCTGCTTTGCAACGCTTTGAATCATGAAAAGCGCTATACAATTGAATTGAATTGATTTGAACTGAACTGAATTGAATTGAATTACACTAATGAGAATTGGGAGGTAAAAAGGGAGGTGAAAATGTCACAATGCACAAAAAAAAAAAAAAATCTTTATGCAATTCCCTTTTTCCCTTTGATTTTTGGGGTAATATGTGACCTGGACATCTCTTTGTAAAATTCACCACTTTAAGTTGCTCCTTCATTTTTACCTAACAATTCCTGAGAGAAATTTAAATTCCATTTAATCTAAAACATCTTGTACCTATTTACAGGGATGGTCCTCTGGGGCTTTAATGCCTTGCCCAAAAGCACAATGGTAATAAAGCAGTATTGTGACTGCGAGTGGAACTGAACCTGCAACTATTCTAGCCTAGATCTTAATTAAACCATTAACCGCTACCTGCGGTTCAATTCAAATGTAAAACTTAATGTTGCCATCTGATTTTAAGATACCTGCATTCCTTAAATTAATGCATTTTAGGCCACATATAGGGATTTCAGAGACTTCAATGAATTATTAATAGAGGCTGCAGCTTATTGTGGTGCTGTCTTTCCTTAAGCAAACTAAATTTAGCACATATCTTGAGGGAAGAGTGCTATTTTTTGCATGAGAGAAATGTGTTATGTATGTGAATCTCTTGCAGCTCACTGAATTCAGATGATGGCTTAGTCAGGCATTTCAAGGGTTTATTATCTGGATATTGGAAATCTTTTGGATAGGAATCAGAATTTGGAGTGTTCTATTGAAGGCTGTTTTATTGATCTTCACCCCAGATGCAGATGTGACTGAAAACATGAGGACCAAAGCTTGTCCGTTTTTAATAGCTTCGGCTAAAGCCCCACTTGACAGCTTGTTAAAGCTACAGTCTGAATTAAACAGATCTGCACACTAGTAATTTTGCTAAAAATTAGAACAAAGTTCTTTAAACGGCAGCCCATTCTCAGTGTCAAAATTTTAAAACTGCTTAAAAATAGCAGACCTGTGTATACTGAATGAATTTTCCCATTCTTGCTTTTTTTTTTCTCTCTTTCTCACACACTTTACCGCTGAAAACAATTGAATCCATTTGAGCTCTCTCATTATTTTTCTGCCTGGATGCCAGATTTATTTAGATGTTAAATGCTTAGCAGAGGCTTATTCTACAGTGACACCACTTGCAGAAATAGGTCTAACTGGAATCACCAGTATCACCATTTTTTGGGGGGGGGATCATTTAATCTGTATCATTATGTAGGGACCTTGAGCATTCTATCTCCTCAGAAAACTCTCAATTGATCATAATCTTTCTATAAAACCTTGAAAGTGCTGTAATCAGTATTTTTATAGTAACATGGATAAAATCTGTCTACAACCTGACAAATATAGCTAAAATAGAGAAAGGGGAAATCCCACAGGTGCCTGCTACAGCCGTGAGCTGTGTAAACACCAATAAAATAAGTCTGGAGCAAATTAGCCAATTAGCATTTCCATTAATCTTAATGGCAGTTGCTCGGCTGGAAACAGGACCCCTATTAATCAATTGTATTGCTGAATGGATGACTTTGTGAATATATTACAATCTTTAGTGTATTGTTTCTGCCGTCCAGGTGCTGTGCTACATGGATTAGGAATTGGCAGTTAATTTTTAAAGGCATGTTGAAAGAAATATTTGAATGTGTAAGATAAAGTGTTTTATGGAGGGATTGCAGTGCGTTTCAAATATTTGAAAATGCCCTTGGCAAAGTGGGAGTATGGATTATATTAGAATAAATACTTTTGACTATGAAACTATGAACACATTTTAAAAATGATAAAAAAAATACAAAATCTATATATAGACCCACCTTTATTACCAGCGTTCAAATTGGTTTATTGTGCACAAACAATAATGTACAGTATGTGGAAAATAATGTGTTTTTTTAACCTTAAACCGCATAAACACATTTCATTACACCAAATACCCAAAATAATGTTCTTTTTAGCAGCATCATATGACCACTTTAAATTGTTTCAAAACCATATGCTGTTGTTGGAACACAAAATGAGAATTTTGAATATTCATTGCATGTTTTGAATGCAATGACAATTCAATTCTTATTTTCAAATCAAAACATTTACAATTTTTTAGATATAATGGCTGTGTAATGTGGGTTTTGTTTCATGTTCATTGTTTTCTTGTCTTATTTTGATATTTTGCCTTGTCATGGTTCCTTTCTAGTCATGTGATTCCCTTACCCTCATGTTATCCTGCTATTGGTTCTTTGGTTCATGTGTCATGTTCTCATTGGTTGGCTTAGTCATGTGTCCTGTCTCTCATTGGCTGGTTCTTGTCATGTGACCTGTATTGCTTGATATAAATAGCCCTCATGTTGCCATTGACTCCTGTTGAGTATTGATGTTGTAACCTGCTGTTGGTGAGTCAAGTCTGTTCAAGTCTGTTCATGTCTGTTCATGCCAAGTCAAGTCTTTCTTCGTTTGTTTGGATTAGCTGCACTTGGGTTCATCACAACTCGTCTTCAGTGGACTGCTCGTTACAGGCTGTCTGCAGTTTTGAAGTGTGATCAAAAAACATGAAAATCAATCACTTTTGATATTATTGATGTCCATCGGAGAGAGAGAGAGACAAAATGACCATTGTGTATGTAAATTACCTGCGTTTGTGCATTTCATTAATTCAAAAACAAAGATTTTGCCTCTACGTTGTTGAGAAATATAATGTAGCAATTCAGCATCAAAGCTATTTTATTATCAAAAGTCACAGACAGCAACCAGTGTTGGCCCACATCTGGCCCGCATGGATTTCACATGGGCCAGATGTGGGCTGGATCTGGGCCAACACTATGTCTGGGCTAGGGCAGCGTTGACAAGAAGTTGCTGTGCTCCTGAACGTTTCTGTGTATGCGCAGAGCGATCTGCGATCTCTGTGTGCAAGTGATGTGTGTGTGCGTCATTGAAAGCAGCACATTAATAGGCCTACTAATGTAACTACCTGTTCATTAAACAGTTTTAATGCATACCTTCCAGGCAATCAGAATCTAGTATTCAGACAGACCATGGTATAATATGTTTTATGAGGCAGCAGCAGAAATGTAGAAAGCTGGAATGCGTGGCTTTATTACGTGCTGCCGTCTGCGCCCGTTTTAAAACTCAAAGAGCTGTGTATTAGCAGTATATTGTCATTTTACACTTGATGCGTTCTTTACAAAAACACAACTTTGGGACCTCAAGGGTGTGTAGAACTTTTCATTAACCGATGTGACACAGTGTTGTAACAATGCAAGTGTAGCCTCATGGGCAGCACACCGACATGTAGCACTGTTGCGATTGGGCCGTGCCGACTCCCAAGTTTGAGTCCTCGCTCGCTGACCTTTTCCGATCTCATCCCCCCTCTCTCTCCCACTTTGCTTCCTGTCTAAAAACTGTCATATCACAATAAAAAAAGGCAAAAACTCCAAACATAAATCTTTAACGAAATGCAAGTGTTTACAGAGCTTTATTTTGATTTTTAATGCTTTCCATTTTAAAATAAACTTCTAAATGTCTGATCAGTAGCCTAGTCTCTATAATAGACAACACAATTTAATAATTGTGGTGCTTCTAATTAAGTGCTAAAAAGCAGTTGCAAATGTTGTACAAAATAAACATACTCATCTTTGCATCAATAAAATGTGCAACACTTTATGTTTTTCTAACAAATTATATGTAATATCTAATTGTGCCAGCAGCTGTCACTCTGCAGCTCTCGCCTGGTTGGCCATTGATACTAAGCAGGGTTGAGCCTGGTCAGTACCTGGATGGGAGTCCTCCTGGGTTCTTCGTTTGTTTGGATTAGCTGCACTTGGGTTCATCACAACTCGTCTTCAGTGGACTGCTCGTTACAGGCTGTCTGCAGTTTTGAAGTGTGATCAAAAAACATGAAAATCAATCACTTTTGATATTATTGATGTCCATCAAAATATGGCCTGTTCCTTACACAAAGCTATTGCAAGGCTTCGGAAAACGTGGAATGCAGCATAAGTAATATGAAACTGTGAGCAAATAAAGCCTTTTTGGAGCTTGACAGCTTGTGATTACTACAAACTTTCTTTGTCTGAAAAAGATTTGAACATTCATCAAAATTCTCTCTTTATTTTCCTCAAAGAATAACAGCATACAAATGCAACAATATGGGTGAGTAAATAACATTTTTATTTTTACATGAACTATCCCTTTAAGGCTGTATGGTCCACCCACATTAATTTTTCATCACAAGCACACACCACAAAGATGGCATCATGCATATCATCATCAACACAATACACTGCAAACACAACTGGATGAATTCCACGAAGAACATTTATGGTGATTCCACGGATAAACACAGTGTGTAAGCCTGAACATTCACGACAGCATTTCATATAAATGAATGATTCCTGAGCTAAGGCCATTGTAAAACATTAAGTGGCATTCCTAATCAGCACGTAGAGAGGAAATGTTAGATAAGCAACGTGTCAGAAGCTTTTAGTTGGGGTTGTCACTCTTAACTCTGAGATTTAATTAATTAGAGATTCTCATTAACTGATTCCAGACACGTAAGCTGTTATACACGAGGCACTGTATATTTATAACCCTGTTCCAGACCGGCAAATATCTCCCGTTCAAGGTATTGCCTGAGGCATTGTGCTGTCATTTGGTCTTTTACATTCATAATTACCTGTAGTTGCATCTTTCTAGAAGATATCCAAGCTTGAAACCACAACGTGATACTGTTGCTTTTCCATATTCAAGTGGATTCAAACCGAATTCAAGCAAACGGATACTTGCTCATACTACAAATACCAAGACACCATCAGCAGCTTATACATGTAGATGTCTGGGCACAGAGTAAAAGTCCTGTATTTCATGTTTACAGGGAAAAATCTAGCTCATTGAGGTATCCTGACCCTCTATGCTTGTTGTCCACTGGGCTGGTCACCGCTTCCGAGGTCCGACTCTGCTTCTCCGCTTGCACCCCCTCTCCTTGCGGAGAGTAGGTCCAGTGATTTGGGAGAAGAGTTTTGATTCCTTCTGCTGAAGCAGCTGGCTATGTCGGCTCGGAATGAGGGTGTGAAGAAACCATAGATGACCGGATCGCAGCACGTGTTGAGGTTGCCGAAGACGAAGAGAGCGTGATGGATGTATTCTGGCATCACCTGCAGCATATGAGGCTGAAACCAGTACCAGATGCCAAGCAGGTAGTACGGTGTCCAGCACACCACAAATGACGCCACAATGATAATGGTCATCTTCAGGGTCTTCATGCGTGCTTTTGGGATTATGTCGGTTCCACTGCGTCTCAGACAAGGTTCCCCACCTACAAAACCCAATGCAAGTTAGAAGAACACTAGAAATGGCGCTGTGTGACCTGCCTTATCATTTTGACCCAGAAACCAGTCAATGAAAAATGAGAATCTATGCTTTCTGGTGATATAACACTCAAACTCTGTACTGCTGTTTGAATTGAGGCCTCTGCATCGATCTGTATTACCACACAAAAGAGCCTCTAAACAATTTTTTTGAAATTCACATTAAAACTGATGTCATTTGAGATGAGACTTGGTTTTATCAAAAATAACACATTAAAAGTCCAAATTCAAGGCAGCCCTAGAACCCATCTCATTAACTGTAAGAAGTAAATTCTTCATCAAATTCAGTACACTATGAAAATCTTGATGCAGTCACACTGTTTATCAATGACAGGTACCATGTCAGAAGAGAGCAAAAGTCAATTACCCTTTCCTTTACCACGAGGCATCTGGCGGTTGATTTCCACAAGGATTCGCGTATAGCAGAAGCTCATTACCAGCAGAGGGAACACATACAGGGTGACAAAGTGGAACATGTTGTAGGCTGTTTCCTGCCAGCGCTGCTGGAAGCTTCCATGAGTTACACACTGCACAAAGTCAACCCCTTCAGCCTTAATTGCCCTGAAAATAAGTAACTGAAACGATAAAGAGAAATTTATGAAGAAAATCAATAAATTGTATTACTTTTTTTTGTTATCTGGGCATTTGCCTTATTTCTCCTATACGGAACACAAAAGGAGACACTTTTCATTTTTCATGCAAAACTATTGTATGGCATGTGCTTTTGTGTCCTTTTATAGAAACTCGAAAGCTCCAGTCTTCATTCATTGCAATTTCATAACAAAATTTCAACTTTTATGTTCCACTGAGGAAAGAAAGTCGTACAGGTTTGGAATGACATGAGGGTGGGTAAATGATTTTTATTTTTTGAGTAGACTAAGGGTGGGTTGCACCAACAAGGATTAATTTAAGTAAAGTTTAGAGCTAATCAAGGATTTGTTGATCTGGGTTTTATTTTAAATCGAGTTGTGTTGCACCACTTAATTTTAAACACAGATTAAGAAATCAGGGATTAGAACTCTAACCTGCGATTAAAACCTCCATCTACAATTAATTTTCTCCGCCATGATGGATTTCGCCATTGCAATTAAACAGGAACAATGCAAATATTCCTAATTTTTCTTTGCTTACTACCAAACTCTCTTTCTGACATAAAAAGTTGCTCGTGTCAAAAAAGGAAATAAACTTGTAAAATATCTGCCGTCTTAATAAACTGCTATCGTTATTCAAACGGCTGATCAAGCTTATATGTAATATCTAATTGTGCCAGCAGCTGTCACTCTGCAGCTCTCGCCTGGTTGGCCATTGATACTAAGCAGGGTTGAGCCTGGTCAGTACCTGGATGGGAGTCCTCCTGGGAAAATAGGTTGTTTACCCTGCAGTCTGTGTGGGACACAGTAATGGGGACACTATACTGTGAAAAAGCACCGTCCTTCAGATGAGATGAGACGTTAAACCGAGGTCCTGACTCTTTGTGGTCATAAAAATCTATCTATCTATTAACCTGTACAAGTTCTTTAGAAGTGTTCTTTAAGTAATTAAAAAAAACAATCCGACAAGCAATCAGACTGTCAGCAATCAAACTAGAAACCTAATGATACTTTTTATTATGTGTACTGTAGCTTGTGTTTATTAATTGGACTAAACAGGGAAGGAAAGGCAGCTAACACGTACACAGTATATATGCCCTTTTAAACATCACACTTTTTAACAAGAATCCCTAGTATTACATCTCAAAACATGAAGGACACACAACATAATTGTCCAGGGAATTTCCTAGACACAGTCCAGCTCCTCGGAGGACCCTGTTTAATGAATCAGTCTCTTCAAGCACTTCTGAACAGCCATCGATGACTTCCATTTGATTTTCCTTCTCTGTTTTCTGAGTTTACCTTTTATTATTATTATTACCTCTGATTATAGGTTGATTGTCCGACAATTAAATAAATAAATACATACATATTTTTTCTGTGCTTATATGCACTTGACCAGCACATTGTAACAGCAATCACATTCATTCAGATCCTTAAATCAATGGAAGTGTTCACCCAAAAAGGTTTTCTTATTATTTTCTTAAAGGGGTCATATGATGCGATTTTTCATTTCTCTTTGGAGTGTTACAAGCTCTTGGTGCATAAAGAAGATCTGTAAAGTTGCAAAGACTAAAGTCTCAAATCCAAAGAGATATTTTATATAAAAGTTAAGAGTCAACCACGCCTACCTAAAACGGCTCGTACTAACACACCCCCACATGTCTACGTCACGATGTGCGAACTGTTTCCTGCCAGCGCTGCTGGAAGCTTCCATGAGTTACACACTGCACAAAGTCAACCCCTTCAGCCTTAATTGCCCTGAAAATAAGTAACTGAAACGATAAAGAGAAATTTATGAAGAAAATCAATAAATTGTATTACTTTTTTTTGTTATCTGGGCATTTGCCTTATTTCTCCTATACGGAACACAAAAGGAGACACTTTTCATTTTTCATGCAAAACTATTGTATGGCATGTGCTTTTGTGTCCTTTTATAGAAACTCGAAAGCTCCAGTCTTCATTCATTGCAATTTCATAACAAAATTTCAACTTTTATGTTCCACTGAGGAAAGAAAGTCGTACAGGTTTGGAATGACATGAGGGTGGGTAAATGATTTTTATTTTTTGAGTAGACTAAGGGTGGGTTGCACCAACAAGGATTAATTTAAGTAAAGTTTAGAGCTAATCAAGGATTTGTTGATCTGGGTTTTATTTTAAATCGAGTTGTGTTGCACCACTTAATTTTAAACACAGATTAAGAAATCAGGGATTAGAACTCTAACCTGCGATTAAAACCTCCATCTACAATTAATTTTCTCCGCCATGATGGATTTCGCCATTGCAATTAAACAGGAACAATGCTAATATTCCTAATTTTTCTTTGCTTACTACCAAACTCTCTTTCTGACATAAAAAGTTGCTCATGTCAAAAAAGGAAATAAACTTGTAAAATATCTGCGGTCTTAATAAACTGCTATCGTTATTCAAACGGCTGATCAAGCAAGCAATGAATACATTTCTGGCAGTGCATACGGATTTCATAATCCTGGAAATATATTTATAGTAGCAATTAATGGAGTATGTTTTATGACAGCGCCGCCCCATCGTTTGATCGCCGCCCAGCATCCACGCGTGGAGCGGGCGTGAGAAACGAGAGGCGTGGCCGCGATCATTGGCGCTCACTTCATCATCACCGCTGCCGTTAAATGCTATACAGTATATTTCTGTTTTCTTTGTCGTACGCCGAGATGCACCGAGATGAGTGACGGATTCACATCCCGGACTCGATAGCAGACGCGAGTTTACTACGGGCTGCCAAGACCCTCACAATCTGCTGGCTCAATGCGCTTAAATCTTCCTTTTTATTTGTAATAAACACCTGAGCCCTCACAACACATCCTCTGTTGTTTTCTTTGTTTAATCAGCCACATAATTGTAACTGTAGGTGCACTTTATTTCATTTAAACCTCCTCACCTGTAAATTTAAAATTAATCCCTAATTGAGATTTAAATCTGAGTTTAAAGTTATGGAGCAACATGATTAAAGTTAATCTATCTTAAATATAAATTAAATCCAGGATCAAGATGATAGTTTAAATGTAATCCTGCTTATTTTTAAACAAGGTTTAAAGTTTGGTGCAACTGAATTATTAGATAAACCTTGATTTAATCTTGATTAAAGCTTAATCCTTGTTGGTGCAACCCACCCTAATCCTTTAATCACTTTGTAATCTGCTGATCAGATTTTTGCAACTGCTTTGCATAAAAATATTCACACATCTTCTACAAATAACTACACCATGTGAAATGGAAAAGAAAGTGAAAGTTTGCAAATTAGTAACAGCAAGCTAAAAAGTTGTCATGTTATGAATTGAGACATGAAATATAGCATTGTGATGACAAAACGCTCCTCGTGGCGTGTAGTAACTGATTACATGTCATTTGGATTACATAATTAGATTCCAAAAATGGGGAACTTGTAATTAGATAAAATTACATTTTAAAATACTCGTAATCCGACTACAGTTACTTTTTTATTGATTACATGATTACATATAATTGACAATTTAATGATTCTTCCTATTTCCTCTTTCATCTTTTAAATGTTCTTTTCTAAAATATCCTACATATGACATGCATGTAAACAAGTACAATATTTAATTTTTAGTAAGTGTTTTATTTACATTAATTTTACATATTTACGATTTTATTAATTATTAGCTTTTCATTAAATTCAAAACCCCCCTGCAATTCCTTGATGAACCCCAGTTTGGGAAACGTTGACACTTCATGTTGTTAATAACAATGAATGGAATATATTTCTTTTTTCTTTTTGTATTTTTGTATCAAGATTATCCTATTTAAATCAATGTGATAAACAAGTTAGGTCAAAAGTAATCTAAAAGTAATCCAAAAGTAGTCAGATTATATTACCTAAAATGTGTAATGTAATGTAACTTGGAATCAGTAGTGGATTGCAATTTGTAAGTAATCTACCCAACTCTGATTGTAGGTGTTCCCCTGACTTTGCAAATCAATTTTTGGGTC